GATTCCAGGAAAGGTGGACTATAACACCTCTGAGCTTGTATGTGGTTTTTATGCAATTTTTGATGAATCAACACTACTCTTTTTCTCTCCTCTTTCTCTCCATCCTTCTCTCCCCTTTTTCTCTTCTCCTACGAACCCTAGATCACTACACTGCCTTCCTTGCAATGGCTGCACCGCCAACAGCTAACGCCGGGCTCCAACGCCACGCGGTCGCCGGCGACCAGACTCTTCACCTCGCTCCCGACTTCTTCAATGATTCCTGCGCATTCGTGGCCGATCACCATTGGCTCTTTCACAATGTAATCTCCACACCTCCCATGCTGAATATATAATAATCAAATTCTATATCAATTATCTCAAAATTAAAACAAAACCCTAATTAAAAACCATAAACTCACCTTGAGGTAGTGAACATCACTCCCACAGATACCAATTGCTTTCATATTCACTCTAACATCATGAGGACCTACACATTAAATACAGTAATCCTATCATATGATTAACATTATATATATATATATATTCAAAATCGAAAATCCAAAATATATATATATACCAAGAGGAGGGAGGTTGAAGGGCTGAATCTTGAGGTTGCCAACGCCGAGAAGCCAAGCAGCCATGTTGTTTTCTGTGGGTACTCCATTAGCGCCCTTTCCCATTCTCACCAAATTGATTGATTGCTTAATTTCTCACAGAGATGAGATTTGATGGAGAAGAAGATTCAAGTAGTGACGGTGTGAAGAGCGCAGCGATGTAGAGAGGTATTTATAGGGTGATATGTCTGAATTAATTAATTAATGGATAAAGGTATTTCAGTCCTTTCAAAATTATCCTTCTCATCTGTCTGCTCATAATTTGCCGAGATAAATGTACGATTCCTTAGCTTGTTAGAATTAAGTTAGGGAACTAATTAACTATTCGATCTAAGTAAGATAATATACCAAAAAGGGAAAATCTTATCTTATCCAAATATGGGTAAGACTATCATTATCCATGCAATACTTTCATACCTGACTTCTACTTCCAAATCATCAAATTACTAATTCTTTTATTATTTTTTCTACATCATGTAATGTAATTTCAACGCACTTTTAAAAGTGAATCCATATTTCACATCACATTAAAAAAAATATTATGTTTCATCACTGTCGTTATTATTATTTAAATTTGAATTATTAAAAATAAATTAACACAGACTCTCTCTTCACTCATGACATTGTATTGATCTTCTTGATTTATCCCGATCAATTTTATTCTGATCTTTTACCATTTAAGATAACAAGATGAAGTTTCATCTAATGTCCGAAAATTATATTATAAGTTCCATTTTTTAGTTTAACTAGTTTTTTATTTGTGCCCAATAGTTTAACTCGATTAGTAAATCATTTTCAAATAGATGAATTGCATTTGTGAAGTTTTATTTTTTTTTATTTGACGAAGTTTCACAAATATTCACCTAATATGTATTTTGTTGATGTTTTTGAATTTTTTCACAAGTAATTCACATTATATATATATATATATATATATATATATATATATATATATATATATATATATATATATATATATATATATATATATATACACACACACACACACACACACATACACATACACGATAAGACTCTCCTGTTATTTAGGTTAGGACTATTTGACTGTACTACAACCAATAGTAATAAAGCATATAATATAAACATGAAATACTAATATTACTAACACACCCCCTCAAGCACAAGGGTGGATGTTGACAACATTGAGCTTGCTTCTAAGAGCATGAAAAGGCGGAGCTGGCAGCGCCCTGGTGAAGATGTCAGCAAGCTGGTCTTTGGTTGAATCAAAGTTGACAATAAAGTCCCCAGAAGCAACCTTATCACGGACAAAATGGAAATCGATCTCAACATGTTTCGTCCTGGCATGGAAAACCGGATTAGCTGCTATGTATGTAGCCCCAAGATTGTCACACCATAGTGTGGGTGGACTTCCAGAATGCAGACCCAACTCCTGAAGTAATGAGACAACCCAGTTGACCTCGGCGGACACATCGGCAAGCCCTTTATATTCAGCCTCAATCGAGGAGCGTGCTACTGTGCGCTATTTGCGGGAAAGCCAGGATACAAGATTAGACCCAAGAAAGACTGCATGGCCACTAGTGGATTTCTGGTCGACTGGACACCCAGCCCAATCAGAGTCTGAGTAGGCATGCAGATCAGAAGCTGGTGAAGAAGCCAGACGTAGCCTGTAGTCCAGGGTTCCTTTCACGTATCGAAGAACACGCTTGAGCAACCCCAGTGATCCTGCGTTGGAGAGTGCATGAACTGACAGAGCCTATTGACTAAAAATGAGAGATCGGGGCGAGTGATAGTTAGATACTGTAGGGCCCCAACAATCCTTCGGTATTGAGTCGGATTATCAAACGGATCGAGAGTTGGTGTAGCCGGTGTAGCCAAGGCTTTGCAATCCGTCATACCTGCACGAGACAGTATATCCACCATGTACCTGCGTTGAGATAAAATAAATCCATCCCCGTCAGACAGAGTCTCGATGCCTAGGAAGAAGGTAGGCTTGCCCAGATCCCTTATTTTGAAGGCAGAAGATAGACGCCTGAGGAGTGAGTCAATAAATGCTGGATCAGCGCGCAACATAATGATATCTTCGACATACACGAGTAAGAATACCCGTGAGTTGCCGTCGGTGTAGTGAAACAACGATACATCAGTTTTGGATGTCAAAAACCCCGTTGAGATCAAGAATTCATGTAAGCGATTAAACCACGCCCTGAGCGCCTGTTTAAGACCATAAAGAGAGCGTTGCAAGTGACACACGTGGTCCGGATGTGTGGGATCCCCGTATCCCGGTGGCTGTTTCATATAAACTGTCTCGGATAGATGCCCATTTAGAAAGGCGTTATGGACGTCTAGCTGCCGCAAGGTCCACTTGTGAGACACTGCAAGAGAAAATAAAATACGAACAGTGGTCGATTTAACCACCGGAATGAACGTGTCAAAAAAGTCCTTGCCGGCTACTTGGTTAAACCCTTTAGCAACCAGGCGGGCCTTGTAACGCTCACCGGAGCCATCGACTTTGCGTTTGGTGCGGAACACCCACTTCCAGCCAATCACATTCATATTTGGTGTAACCGGGACCAAGTTCCATGTGTTGTTATGTAGAAGTGCATTGAACTCCTGATCCATGGCATCCTGCCACTGCGGATGCCCCACAGCCTGTGAGTAACACGTGGGATCTATAGTAGTGGTGAGTGCTAAAAACTGTTCATCCGTTCCACGTGTCTTGCGGCGAGTGCGTATGACATGTCCATCACCCTGAGTAGGCTGAGTAGTAACCCTCCGCCGTCTCCAAGTTGGAGCCGGGGCGGCTTCTATGGACATAGGTGGTGGTTCATGTGCCAAGGGTATCTCCATTGGCTGTGGTGCGGACTGGGTGTTAACCACTACGGGACTGGATCTCAGGGTGTGGGTGTACTTTGCTTGCGAGCAACCTGTAAAGATGCCTGCATAGAAAAGGAGAAAGTGGATTCATCAAATCGGACATGACGGCAGATAAAGATCTTCCCCATGGCTAAGTCTAAGCAGCGGTATCCCCTATAAGAGACTGGGTAACCTAAGAAGACATACGGTGCCGACCATATTCCATCTTGTGGCGATTGTAAGGCCGCAGAGAGGGATAACAGCGGGAACTGATGGGATAACCGCATGACCCACACGGGAGACATCCAAACCTGCGCCGTTGCCGACTTTGAGTACGTCCTCGCCGGTGTAAGCCTCGGAGTGGTGCAACAACTGATCATCCGGGGTCGCATGAGACGAGGTGCCCGTGTCCGGGTACCATGCATCGGCTACTTGTGGATCACTGGAAACCGCAACATTGGCGTGACCTGCGTGAGCCTGCGGACGATCAGCATATCTCTTAAAACAATACACGGCCGTATGGCCGTGTGACTTACAAATTTGGCAGCGGGGTGTGCCGCCACGCCCTCGGCCATTGTTACCCCTGCCACGACCTTGTCGTCCACGCCCACCGGAAGACTGCCGCCCACCTGACCCCGGATCTCCACTGTTTCTGCCGCGACTAGCAAAGAACACTGATGGTGTGCCACCAGTGCTGGAGTCCACTGTGAAATCATCCACTACAAGAAAAATTGCGAATCGCGACGGAATTTTTCCATCGCGAATGGGCAATATTCCGTCGCGAATCACGTTTCGCGACGGAATTTATTCCGTCGTCTATCACCTTGTCGTATTTTGATAGACGACGGAATAATTCCGTCGCAATTTTTGGCGATGGACTTCGCGACGGAAAATTTCCGTCGCCATTTGGCGACGAAAATATTCCGTCGCAATTCCGTCACCCATTTTGCAACGGAACTATTTCCGTCGCAAGTCGCGAATCACGTTTCGCGACGGAATTTATTCCGTCGTCTATCACCTTGTCATATTTTGATAGACGACGGAATAATTCCGTCGCAACTTTTGGCGATGGACTTCGCGACGGAAAATTTCCGTCGCCATTTGGCGACAAAAATATTCCGTCGCAATTCCGTCACCCATTTTGCAACGGAACTATTTCCGTCGCAAATCTGTCAGTTATTTCATAACCGAATATTCCGTCGCCATATTATCTTTTTCGTCGCTAATTTCGTCGCCCATTTCGCAACGGAAATATTTTCCTTCGCAATTCCATCGCATCATTTGCAACAAATATTCCGACGCAAATCTTATATTCCGTCGCATTTTTGAATTATTTTAAAATAAAATTGTGATTTTAAATAGTAATGAATGTTTTTAAAATAAAAGATAACATAATTCTAAATTAAGTTAAAATAATAATAATACATTGCTAATCCACATTTCATACATAATATAATCGTCAATTCAACTCTAAACAACATAACAATACATTATCAATCCGCACTTAATACATAATAATAGTCAATTCAATTCTAAACAACATTGTAATAGTTTTAACAAACAACCATTAAAATCAATTGACTTGAGATGGAGGTGATGATGAAATACCCTCTCTCCCGCCATCAATAGCATCAAGTCGTTGCATAAGGAGAATAGTAGCCTTCACACTCTGAATTTCATCTTGAACATTTGCAGAAGTAGCACTGTCGGGTGGTCACGATTTTAGGGTCATATTGCCAGAAATGTTATCATTAGTTAGACCATTAACAACAGAACAACCATATGAACCAAGTCCATAAACTCTTCTTTTCTTGTCGTGTCCACCAACCGCGTCATAGTATAATTGATTATCATCCACCTGTTCTCCATTTTCTGCCAACATCTCCCATTGCGATGCAACTTGTTCTTAAAATATGTAAGAAATTTAGTACAAAATATATGTAATGGCATATATATTTTAAAAACTTAAAAGAATTTAAACTTACATGAATTTGTTTGGCTTTTTCAGCTATGAATGTTTGACATCGTGTTGTTTGGTATGTGTATGCTTGAACAGTTCATAATACGATGGACAATGACCCAATTGCCCTTCCTACAAATTATATTTAACAAACAAAAGCAATTATTAAAGTAAGAAAAAAAGCAGATGAAATTATTTGGCAGATGAAATTAACTCTCAAAAAAAGCAATTACAGACCAGAATTTTGTATAGAATTATTTTATATAATCAGAGAAAGAGGCCAGATAAAGGAGCATTATTACAATTATTTCACTATTATAAAAAAAATATGTACTACCAATGAACCTAAGATCAGAGCTCTCTCTAATGTTGCAGAAGTGTAAGAGCTTGAACTAAAGTGGCTCTAAACCTGTTAACATCAATCCTCACATTCTGTTTGTCTAAGTAAATTGATCTAAGTGCCACCCATCCCTTCCTATGAATGTACTGTGGATCCTTAACCACAACATCATCAAGTGGATAAGTATCTAATAACAACGTCTACCAAACCCTAGCAAGACATCAAGCAAAAAGCTTAGAATTATCTCTAAATTACTAATATCAGGCAAAACTTTTCTTCCAACTTTCACCTTAACAGAAGAGCTACTCTTGGTGTTGCTAACTAGAAGGAAAGAGTATATCAGTATATGGTGAAAACCACCCAAGAAACATGTAAGATTTTAAGTACCCTAAAAATTATAGTGAAACGTTACCTGCACTACCATGCTTGCTTTTATTTTTCTCCATGTTCCTCTTTCTGATCAAAGAAGTTAAGCAACTAAATCAATATTAGCAAGTACACAAAACAAACTTTAAGAATTCAAAAAATTAAATTAAATAAAATAAGTGAATCTGCAAACAAGTATGCTAGTAACCTTCAAAGAAGTAGCTCTGCTTTGCATGGCTGTACTATTAAGCATAGCAGATTTCCTGCACCAAAAATGAGAAAGAAATGTGTATTACTTTTGCATTACAATTAAACAATCAATTACAACATAACTTTCAATTACACAAGAGAATATTTGAAATACCAGACCCTGCATTGTTACAATCAAGCAAAACCTCTTGAATTAATTGCTTCAAATTTTAGCAATATTTACTGGGGTAGAATCTAGTCTAGATTTAAGAAGATGAACAAACACATGTGAACACACATACAATATTTACTAGGGTCTAGGGTAGAACCTATTTAAGAAACTGTGCACACTTGCATACAAAATATGAGAAGTAAGAAGGAAGTGTAGGCTTACTTAGAATCAGTGCTGAGAGAAATGCGTCCTCCTACTTTAGTTTTCTCTATTTCTGAATAAATGCTTAATTTTCTTAGTCCGCCTGTAACTATATTAGTAGAATTACTATATGCATAAAGAGTAATGCGCACTATTCTTGCTCGGTTTATGGTCTTGCGCGAGAAGATTGGCAACTACGTTTGATTTTCCCTGCATGAACAGTAACAAAACAATAGCGAATTGAATATGAAATGTAGAGGAATAGAGAGAAGAAATAGTGAAATAGAACAAGTCGAAAGTTTAAACACTAACTTATACCATTTTTTCCCTCGTTTATGTTTATAGGAACGCTAGGAGGGACAGAAACTTGTTCCCTAAAGCAAGTTAAACAAAAAGCAAAATTTGAAATGTTTCCTTCTACGTACATTTCAAATTCCTCCTACTATGATCATTTTATGCTATAAGAACAAGAACATGTTGAAACACTGACTTATACCACGTAAAATCTTTTCCTCTTTTATGTTTCTGGGACAAAAATTTATTTGCACACCCCAATCACTGCTTAGGACAACTGAACGACACCTGACTAAAACCGGAAAAGAAAGTGGCTATAAAAATGTAGGACTGTAAAGATAATCTGAATGCCATTATATTAGTTAACATGACTAGCATATAACTTGAACGAACTTAAGTTTTTACAGTATAATGATGCACAAATTTAAGAAGCATCTATTCCATCAGAATGATCCTATCAACAACATAAAAAAAAAATCTGGAAAAATAAAAATCATTCCATTAGGGTTCAAATTTAATAAGAAATTAGGGTTCAAAACACTAGCTATTCATAAGAAATTAGGGTTCAAATTTAAGAATTCATCAGGATGGTTCAACAAATCAGTTAAAGCCAGAGAAATTAGGGTTCAACAGACTAGCTATTCATAAGAAATTACGGTTCAAATTTAATAATTCATAGGAGGGTTCAACAAATTAAAGAATTACCTGATTTCTGCGGGGAGGAGGAGGCAACCGCGAATGATTTCCGCTGCACGACGACGGCTGGACGGTGACGGGGACGGCTGGACGGCGAAGGCGGCGGCTGGACGGGGACGGCGACGGCGGTGCTGGACTCTACGTGTTTGTGGCGAGTGTTGGTGGCGAGTGTTGGCGGCGAGTGTTTGCAGCAAGCGTTGTGGAGGATGGGAGAAGACACTTAGCGTAGGAGAGTATTGTGGAGTCTAAGTTCACTTAGTGTAGGGTTATAATTTTTATTTCATTTTTATTTTAATTTGGTATTCAAAACATCATAGTTTAAGGTAAAAAAATAAAATAAAATTTAACAAAACATTTGCGACGGAATAAAAATCGGTCGCCTTTTCCGTCGCAATTTTTAGGCTATACACAAAAATTTAATTATTTTAACGACGAAAATGAGACGGTCGGTAATTCCGTCGCCATTTCGCGACGGAACAAAATTCGGCCGGCGAACTGCTTCCTTGGCGTATCGTTTGGAACTGACCGAGCAGGCTCAGGCAGCGAGCTTGTGTGGTTGACGCCAACGCCGAGGTGACGGACTCCCATACTTCTCTAGCGGTGTGCTGGCCAAGTGCATGGTGCATAACCTCATCCGAGGAGGATGAAGTTAGCTAGGAGAGAATAGATTGGTCCTGCTGGACCCAGGCGGTATGAGCAAGATTTAACGCTGTGGTGGTTGTCGTGGCTGTGGAATCGCCAGACGCCGAGGTGACAATGATGGTTAGCGGAGGACAAGGTAGACTGCCATCAATGTACCCCAGAAGGCCTTGGCCACGAAGGAATGGAAGGAGTTGAGTGTAACACCCCCGATTTTCATGCCAATTTAAAGCTTAAATATGCAAGGCAAACTAACCAACATAACATAAAAACGTAAACACAGCGGGAAGTCTAATCATAAAACGGAGAAAATCAAAGAGTGTTATGCCACGTTCACCCCAACGTGAACGCACAGGCAAAAACTAAAACCATCAATCTAATATGTTCAACGCCAGTGGCACACAGGCCAAAACACAAACTAAACTGTTCAGGGGATCTAAACTATCCCTGTCTAACGCTCTCCCATCTACTCAGGACCTGTAAAGCACATAAAGAAAGGGGACTACGCCCGTCAGCGAATATTGCTAGTAACCCATCAATACGCGTTCAATAGCATATGTATAGATAGTATAATACAAAATCATTTTTCGAAACGGAATACAGTATATATCAGTTTTACCGTAAAGAGAGAAGTCAACTGCAAAGACTTTATTTCACTCTCAAAGAACAAGGGAATCACATCCCAAGACAACATCAAGACAAGAACAACAACAGAACAACGCAACACCGCTCAAGATGTAATCTACTGATCACAAAGCAGAAAACATCAAAGCAAAGACACCAACAACAACAAGTACAACTCGAGGTGTATTCTACTGATCACAAAGTAGAATACCACTCAACATGCTCAACAGATAAGGATAAACATCCACACATTGTCACTACATGCCACAGTGACACTTCATGTCACAAGTTCCAACCTTATGCCCTGTTCCAACCTTATGCCTACCCCCAGCCTTATTACAGTTCCAACCATTACCTCCGAGAACCCCTGTACTTCTGAGTCCAACCTTATGCCTCCGGGAACCGTCGTTCCCCACCTACAACCACCAAATCATCAACCACCAATTTCATAGTACACGAGGGTACCGTTCATTTCAATCACACAACCACCAATCACATGAGCCTGAAGCCCAGCTGAGCCTGAAGCACAAATCACATGAGCCTGAAGCCCAATTACAACTCCATAGTCACATCATGGCCACCACGAGGACCACATCTGTACCTTGGTGATTAATGTCCCATACCATTAATCGTGTAATCCAGGTACAGCCAACACACACATCATCATAGGAATCAATCAACGGATCACAACAAAGATATGAAATCATACTCAATCAAGGAAGGATTAAAATCCAACACCAATGATAGTCAACACAAGTTGCTATCCACACATGGGAAGAACAAACTACACACGCTAGCATCTCAACATCAAACTAGCATGCTTATCAAACGGGTAAACAAAACATGGTTCCGAAGAAGATACAAGACTCATCATGGTTCAATGAATCACAAGTTATGCCGTGCCGAAGTTTTGACACATTACAACTTTAAAAAAAAAAAAATAATAATCGCCGGTTCACCCGGAGAGGTGGCCGCGGAAGAGGGCGATTCCAGCCTTCATCGCCGCGGCCAGCAACGCGATTTTTGCAACACTGATATATAGTATAGATATAGATTAAAATAGGAATAGTTTGTAGAATTATTGTATGAATGGGAAAGTAGAAATCAATATATTTTATTAGGAAGAGAGATTTTTTTGGAATTGGGCGGGAAGTTAAAATTTCAGGATTTTGTTATTATATATATAGTATAGATTGATTAATTACAATAGGGATTGTATTACACTATTTTATAATATTAGAATAGAATTTTAACGCAGAATTCTTGTACGAATGGGAAAGTAGAAATCAATATATTTTATTAGGAAGAGAGATTTTTTAGGAATTGGGCGGGAAAGTTAAAATTTCAGGATTTTATTATTACATATAGTATAGATTACAATAGGAATTGTATTAAACTATTTTATAATATTAGAATAGAATTTTAACGCATAATTATATTACGAATGGGAAAGTAGAAATCAATATATTTTATTAGGAAGAGAGATTTTTTAGGAATTGGGCGAGAAGTTAAAATTTCAGGATTTTGTTACTATATATAGTATAGATAGATTGATTGATTACAATAGGAATTGTATTACACTATTTTATAATATTAGAATGGAATTTTAATGCAGAATTATTGTACGAATGGGAAAGTAGAAATCAATATATTTTATTAGGAAGAGAGATTTTTTAGGAATTGGGCGGGAAGTTAAAATTTCAGGATTTTGTTATTTTATATAGTATAGTATAGATTGATTGATTACAATAGGAATTGTGATAGGAATATTTTTGTAAGTTTTGATGAGCCAAATGTACTTTAGATCCCCTTAGTTTTAGGTCTTTTAGTACAAGCATCATAAATCAGAATATCAAGTCAAAAGGAATCTACCATAGGAAGAACAAAATTAATTTTGGTCCAACGAGTATTCATCCGAGAAAGAAGCATAAAGGAATGACATTGCAAGAAATAATCGGATGAGCCTAATGGTGAAATGGTAGAAGTCCTTACTCAAAACGATCACTTTCGAGATCAATTCCCCCCCAAGAACTTATCTTTTACAAGTCAAGTTTTCGGACAAGCACAATGTTCCTAAAGGAGCACGATGTGGCAAAGAAGCAAGATGTTCAGAAAATGAATAAATTCGAAGGAATTTATTTTGGATCAGCCCACATGCCACAAGAGTCCAAAATTGCCTGAAGATATTTGATCAGAACGGAAAAATATTTATGAAGACATGAATATAAAAACTTATCCTAGAAATAAATTCTATCAAGATGAATTTATTTCAAAGATTCGTTGGATATTCAAATTGACAACAAAAATAATATTTTAAGAAATAACTTGAAAATCAAGTTGAGATAAAATATTATTTTGTCAGGCAAGTTGACAATCAAATCAAAATTGATGATCTACTATTGTCAACAATATCAGGCTATGAAGATTCAAATTTCAAATATCAAATTATCCCACTCCAACGGATATATTTGATTGCCTATAAAAAGCCATGAAGACTTGAAGACAAGCAGAGATAGAGGTGCAATACACACGGATAGACAAAGTGAAAAATTCAAAAGTGCGAGTGCTCAAATATTCTTAGAGACTTTATCTGAATAGTCTCAAATCTAGTTGGAGAGAGATACAATTACCTTTGTAATTGTAATTGTAAAAAGAGTATAGCTGTGTGCAAAATACTCTAAGGAGTGTAGTTGTGTGCAAAACACTCATAGTTGCTAAGTGTAGCTGTGTGCAAGAAACTTAGTTGGCGTTGAGTATAGCTGTGTGCGAAATACTTGGAGTTGAGTGTAGCTGTGTGCGAGACACTCGGAGTTGGGTGTAGCTGTGTGCAAGACATCCGGAAGAAGTGCTTGTGTAGCAATTATTCACTATTGTAACTGTGTGTGGAAAATAGTGAATTACTCCTAGAAGTGAATGGAGTAAAGTGGACTAGGAAGATTACGCCACTTCCGAACCACTATAAATTGCCTCACTCATTTACATACCGCACTTACATAATTTGCTCTATTTATCTATCTTATCCGACTAACTCGTTTACTATTCACAGTTAATCTTAATCATCCGGGTTTAGTGTGTTTTCACGTATGCATGTGACTCAAACTTCTCGAGCTTAAATATTGGAATATTCTAAGCAAGTTTGACGTGTGGCATGTAACGTTCGTCACATGGTCGACGTGACACGATATTTATATACAATCTTGTATATTATTGTTATATATTGAGTGAACCATCTCCTTTATATATTCAAGATACCTATGTCACTTTACATATTATATGTACCCTTCTTACATGCGTATTTAAATTATTGGTTGGGCATAACTCTTTACATACTATTATTCCGCTGTGCAGTTTAAACTTACTCTATTTACTTGTTACTTAGAGTTGAAGTTACCAAAGAGTTATTTATTTTGAAAAAGCTTGAAAGTCTATTCACCCCCCCCCCCCCTCTAGACTTTCACCACCCTATCGGGACAAACAAATTGTATTACACTATTTTATAATATTAGAATAGAATTTTAACGCAGAATTATTGTACGAAAGGGAAAGTAGAAATCAATATATTTTATTAGGAAGAGAAATTTTTTAGGAATTGGGCGGGAAGTTAAAATTTCAGGATTTTGTTATTATATATAGTATAGATTATTAAAAAAATTAACAAAGACTCTCTCTCCACTCATGACATTGTATTGATCTTCTTGATTTATCCCGATCAATTTTATTCTGATCTTTTACCATTTAAGTTAACAAGATGAGGTTTCATCTAATGCCCGAAAATTATATTATAAGTTCCATTTTTTAGTTTAACTAGTTTTTTATTTGTGCCCAATAGTTTAACTCGATTAGTGACGAAGTTTCACAAATATTCACCTAAAATGTATTTTGTTGATGTTTTTGAATTTTTTTCACAAGTAATTCACATTATGATGAATACATTTGTAATTTGAAATAAAATTTCACAAGTAAAAGCACATTGATGTAAAAGCAATTGGAAATGAATTAAATTTTTTTAAATGTCTTTTTCTTCTAGTCTGAGTTATCTAAGCTCCCTTCTAAATTCATATTGTCATATGGGAATCCATTAATATGTGAGCTATCACATCCTCTATTCAAACCTGAATAAAGTCATCATGTGTTAACTTCAGTATAAATTCAAACAAGTATGGTCAGTGGCGGACCCAGAAAATCATCTGAGTGGGGACGAATATTAAATGACGTTAGAAATGTCAATGACAAAATATAAAATTGAACAATTATAATAAGGTAAAAATACAAACTACATTATAAATTACAATATATTTATGAGAAAACTTTAAAGTATTTATCCAGAATAATAATAATAATAATAAGTGCTTTGGTCCAACTATGTTGATTGATGACCATGTTAAAGAAGATTTAGATTCTAATTGTCTACCAAACATAATATTACATCATATTCGTAATTAATCTGATGGAGTTTGTTTTTTAATTTTTATTAATTTTTAATCATTATTAATAGTTTTGAACAACAAAAGAAACCATTGTTCTCTCAATTCTTATTTAATTATAATTTTCAATATCGTAGAAGCAATTGGTAGATTATCAATGATTAAATTTAAATTAAAGTTGAACACTAATGCTGCTTTTAATCACTCTACCGGTCAGATGGGGTACGGATGGGTATTGACGGATGATGAAGGCCGGTTCCTTCCAACGAAGAATATGTGTGTGCAGGGTTAGGGTACTGTCCATGAGGCTGAAGCATTAGGCGTTCGGGAGGCTCTAAGTTGGCTAATGGATGTAGGGATGGGAAATGTGGAAGTAGAGATGGACTCTCAGTTCGTTTTTAATGCTTTGAATTCTGTTTCATTTAACATCAGCCACAATTGGTGGTGTTGTTTTCCGTTTTGTTAAGCGATCTGCGAATGGTGTCGCCCATAGTCTAGCTAGGGAGGCCTTTTCAGTGTTAGGTTGCGGAGAATGGTTTGACACCACCCCTACTTTCATTGTAAGCGTTCTAGCAAGGGATTTAATGAATTGAGTTTTCCTTTTCAAAATTAAAATTAAAATTTACATACATTGCTCATACATTCATACCACTTCACAGTATAATAATTAAAGAAATTAATAAGGAATTTATAAATAGATCATGGCAAGCTTAGTTGAAAATAATATTTTATTTGTTCATACACAATGCAAGAATTCATTAGCACAATTGTTCATCATCATCGACATCTTGTATAACAGTTTTCCTATTAATTGACTAAACAAACCTATATCTCTCATCTGGGACATTGAAAAATTCATTAGCACAAGCGACTAATGCATTAGAGATAATATATGTGGAGTATAACTTGAGCCTTTCATCAGGCAGATCAATATCATTCTGATAAGTCATTCCTTGAGGTTTGTTGCCCTATAATTACATTTCAAAATAGATGTCAATAATTATTACAAAATATAATATAACAAATATTCATAATCCTAAAACATGCATAATCGAATTATGTTTAAAATTGAGGAATGATAAAAGGAGTAACCGCTTCATCTTGAAATGTTATAGGTTTGTACAAGGTTCCAGGTTTAGTCTTTGACTCTATTGTGTTAGACTTTTCAATAACACAAACTTTACAACTCTATTGTGTTATCTCTCTTGGAAAATCTAATTTCAAATTACATTTTAAGAACATCATCAAAATTTATAAATTACACTTATTCTTAGTATTTTCATTTTTAAAATTGTCACATTAAGAAATGAGCAATAATATGTAGTGATTCTAATAGAAAATTTATCAAATTTTTTAGTGTTTCGAAAATCTAATTTATCAAAATATAGGACTTTCCATTCTGTAACTCATCTTGAATTAATTGGTCAAGTTAGCAAGTATTTATTGAGATGATTTCCGAAACCCATTCTCGCTAAAAAGAGGGCTTGAACCCCCGACCTTGTGGTTAATAACCACACGCTCTAACAACCTGAGCTATTCCAGCAACTCATTACATTACATTATGGGCATACAAGAAATTAGTATCATGCACACAATTTAATACACAATGACACACTGTCATACGTGTAAACATCAAGTTTCGAACTCAGGCGCGTGATACTATAGATATATATATGTATGTGTATACATACACACACACACACACACACACACACACACACACACACACACACACACACACACACACACATATATATATATATATATATATACATATATATACATATATATATATATATATATATATATATATATATATATATATATATATATATATATATATATATATATATATATAATATCACGCGCCTAGGTTCGAAACCTGATGTTTGCATGTATGATAGTGTGTCATTGTGTATTAAATTGTGTGCATGATACAAATTTCTCGTGTGCCCATACTAATTAGATTATGAGCACACGAGAAATTAGTATCATCCACATAATTTAATACACAATGGCACACTGTCATACATGTAAGCATCAGGTTTCGAACCCAGGCTCGTGATACTATATATATATATATATATATATATATAATTTGTCACATTTATTGACCTATTATATACCATAATAATTTTTAGATTTTATATAGTAATAGCTGGGAGATAGCTTCGGCAGGAAGTTGCAAAAGTAGGATTTTGTTTTTATTAGTCGTACAGATTATAATAAAGCTTAACAAATCTCTAATGAATTGATGTGGTAATTTTCTTCTTCTTCTTGTCTATATAAAAAAGTATTAAAATTATAATGCAGAAGGGGAAAATAGATCCATCTACTATCAAGGACTGTTCAATTAACATCTTGGACCAAAATAAGATCTAATTGAACATTTTACATATAAAAATTTTGTTCACTTTGAATTTCTTCAAATTTCCCCTAGGTAATCCTTCTACAATGCTGACATGGAATTTATATAAAATTAACTTTGCTGACTTGGATTTATTATTGACCTTTTAAACCCAAAGGAAAAAAAATAACGCACGATGATCATCTGGAGAATAATTTTCATCCATTTGTGTACCTCCTCCCCATCTTTCACTTCGCCAACTATTGGCCGATTATACTCAACCCTAAAACTAGACAGACAATTTGGAAGCACCTTGTAGATTGTACACGCGGAGATTTTCATAGTGTTGCTTCCTTTGAAACTAATGTCGAATACCATACAAAATGATTTTTTGAAGGTGAACGTTTTGGTTTGTGACGACAATACACATGACACCTTCAAGGTCACAAAGAAAATGCCATGGGTGTTGGGAAATAAGGACAAACAGGGGTGATGACTGTAAGGGAGTCTGTTCCATGTTATATAACACTACCTTAAAAGCGTTATTTGCCTGGTGACGGTGCAGTCAAACTAAACTGGTATGATTTTGACAAGCAACACAGAATAACCACGCTAAGCTTGCACTAGCTTAAACATAGACGAACTTCACTATTGCACAGACTCAGGGAGATAAGAGGGATATGAGAGAAAAGGCTCTGTACCGAATTGCAGTTTTGAAAATGGAAGGGAAGACTGCTTATATAGTGTTTAATATAACAGCTTCCCTTCATTCAGCCAGAAATTAAACACAAAATAAGGGGAAGAGCTTTGAACATGTGGACATGGGTTGGATGACCATTACTAACAAGTAAAAGGTGGTCTGAAATTGTAGCTCTTTCCCCTGAAATGAATTTTCCAACACATACAGGCGTATGAAAAATGGGAAACCTATTCTTATTTTAATGTATTTCCAACAATCCCACACACTTTTAAAGTGGAAGGCTAGAAAGAAATAATGTATGACCAATACAAACGAGTTGATCTTAATGTCAGTGTTTGAGAACTTGAACCGACACGTAGTGACACTGAGTAATTTTCTTCCCGAGAGTGATATGAATCTTGAACTCACCACTTAGATAAATTGTGAACTCTAATGCACGTATGCACCAACTCAAAAACTCAGGTTCTACGGAAGTCAAACTCTCAGACTTCTTATGAATACCTTTAGTGTTCAAGTCTGTTATGTCTATCTCAATACAGACCTCCATCCTGTCAAAGTCTATCTCAACATAGACTTTTAACTCTAACAAGCCTTATCGCAATATAGACTTTTATGAAAAGTTTATCTCAATATAGACTTTTAACTCTGTCAAGTCTATCTCAGCAAGAAGAAAAATGGTGTCAAAAGTCACTTAAACTTCCATGCTAATATGGATAAGTCACTAGTAGAAAAATGGCCATAAATATCTGAAAATTTACGTCTATTGTGACATAACCAAATGCCTAAAGTGATGTGTTGCAATTTTTTAATTAAAATATCATCTTTAAATATGTTTTTTTTTTAAATACGTAGACTATATGCAGTTGTTGTGCATTTACAACACACACATATAGTCTTATTTAAAAAAAAAATTAATTAAATATTTCCATCCACTATATCTGTATACCAAATGCAATTAAATTGCGTATTTTTTATTTTTCATAATTTCTACCTCTGATATATATTAATTCGAGAAGCGAAAACTATGATTTTCAATGCCAAAATTTTCAATCACTATCACTCCACGGTCTCATCAGCCCCTTAGCTACCATCATCCCCATACTTCACTATCTCCATTGTAAAAATCGCACATGCTCTATCGTCGCCATCACACAAGCTCCATTGTTGCCGGCTCGGGATCGATTGTAACAAAAGGACTAAACAGATTGAATGTATAGGGGAAGTTTGATTCCATTTTCTATGTTTTGCTGTAAATGGTGATGTTAGATGCAATTAGCATCATTCTTGAACATCTCTCATCTAGCTACTCTCAACTTGCAAATGAATAAGAAATTTCAGCAATTGAAAGAACCTAATAAGAAGAGTCTTCAAGCATAAAAAAAATAAGTGTTTTGCATCGTGGGATTGTTAAGTATTTGTAATATTTTGAGCGTATAATAAATCACGTTTTTCTTCTTTTTGTTGTTTTATATTCTCCTTTATATTCCAGCACGAGTTCGAGTTTTAGCATTGGTTGTGAAGTTATTGTAAAAGAGGATCAAGTAATTTATTTGACAATTATTAGTATACGATTTCAAATCACTTTTGGATATGTACTTTGTTATGTGATTTTTATGGAGATGATTTTTGCTACATCGGGCTATTTGATTATAGGAACAATTATGAATGTTTGACCAAACTCATGAGGCAATCTACATTTTGTTGTTTGTTCTATTCGTTTTGGAACGTTCCTAATTATATTGCTCATTCCAAATCGTCGAGCTGACTCATTCCGAATCGTCGAGTCTTTTGAATTATTTGTTGGAACGTTCCATCCGGCTCATTCCGAATCGTCGAGCCTGACTCATTCCGAATCGTCGAGTCTTTATAAATAATTATGTCGATAATGGCCTTTGTCACGGGTTATAATAGTGGCTGTAGGTCGCCAATGAGTCATATGTTAACGAATGATTTGTGCTTTGGAATTTATTGCATTATGAAATAATGTTGATGCCCATGTAGCTAAAGTTTTCTGTTTTGGGAACTTGTGTATAGTATGATGAAAGTATTATGACTTCGATAAAGTTTAAAGATCGAGATTTGCATCTAATTATTACTCTAAAGCTTAGTGTATTATATTAGGGTTGTTTGATCTGGGGTGAGAAGAGTACCACTTACTGGGCATTAGCTCATTATTTGTATTTTTTCCTCATGTTTCAGAGTAGTTAAGGACATGTGAATAGCACGAGCACAAGTGGTGGGGTCTTGAAGGTGACTCTTGAAACTAGGAGACTTACTCCTAGTATTGGAGCTTATCACGGACTTTTATTTATTTGGTTATTCTCTTTGACCCTTTGTATTTTTGGTAAACCATTGTGTTTGGTTTTGGTGCTTGTGATGCATTTTGGATACACTACTCTTGATTGTAAATATTTAATAGTGGATCTCATGAGTTTTTGAGAAAAACTAGTTGATTATATTTTGCCATTTTAGCTGTGGAATTATTATGTATTCAAGTGTTATTATGAAGGTTCCGAGAGGTATGTATGGTTAGGTTGCGTATTGTCACAAGTCCTCACGTAACGATGCGGCCGGGTCATGTCCTAGAAGTGGGGCGTGACAGGGCTGCTGAAAAATTAAGTTTTTGTTTTCCGCATTAAGAAACAAAAAAAAAAAATTCAATTTGGATATTTTTTTTTGGCTTACTGCTGCTTCGCCGTTCTCTTTAGAACTCCGGTCTGCGGTTAGATCGCTGGTGACCTTTGTTGATGGTGGAAAACGACGGCTCATCAAAAACAAAAGAATTATACTCTCCCGTCGTTTTTCCTTCAAGATTGCAATCAACAATGGAATTCCAATTGGCGGAAGGTTGGGGATCGGTAGCCAGATCACAAAACCCCAATTTCCTCAAAGCTTGTTTCCTCCACCTGCGTACAATTCTTTCAATATCTAGATCGTACGGCAAGATTTCTTGATTAGCAGATCGAGTTATAGGCATAAACCAAAAGAAAATGTATTGCAACAACTATGTAAAGGTAATGAAAGAAAAAATTGTTTTTTTTTAGATTCCTTTTTTTTTTTTTGACAAATGAAAATAAATAGAAACAAACAAACAAACAAATAAATAAATGAACAAACACAAAATAAATAAGAAAATCTCCTCGACAACGGCGCCAAAATTTGGTGAGCTGTCGTAGGCTCCCAAATTAAAACCTTACAAACGTAGTAGCGGGAGTAAGGGTCGATCCCACGAGGAGTAACTAGTTTAACGTATGTGCTCAAATTAAAGGAAAGTGGGGGTTTGGTATGAAAGTAATAATCAAAGTAAATAAACGAATAAAGCAGTGAAAATAATATGCAGTTGAATATGCAGTTGATTCAAAAAGTAATTAATATGCAGTTGAATATTTGTCGTGAAATTATTTCATTTCCGTTTTCCCTTAGTTGTAGGTAACTAAAGCACACGCGGTTTAATTACCCATAACTACTAAATAATCTAAGACAAGCGCTATAGATT